TGAAGAAGATCTTGCTATAAAAACCGGTTATATGAGTAAAATAAAATTAATAGAAGGTTTAACCGTAGCTGCGGAAGCTTTTGCATGCATAATATTCTTTCCTGTATCTGGTACTGTTAAATACTATCTTATTATAATTTGTTTCATAAATTGAATAATTTAAAATTTAATTTTTTTCTTTTTTAGGTAAAATATTGAATAAATTAGGATATAGTTACACCTTTATTCTCTCTCTCATATTTTATGCACTACGACTAGGATTAATATCTGTAGCACCAACACCATGGTGGATAGTTCCAATAGAATTTATTATGCTAGGACCATCATATGCACTTTCCTTCGTGGCAACAGTAGCGTTCGCTAATGCAAATTCATCACCAAATTTATCTGGTTCTGCTCAAGGAATTTTATCAGGAATGAAAGGTTTTGGTAAATTTCCCCTTATTTTGTTTTACATTAAAAATTGTAACAAAGATATTACACAAGTAATTGTATATTTATACATTTATATTTTCCTTTGTAATTATTTAAATAAATATTTATTATTGATATAAAATGTTACAATATTTTTAGGTTTTGCTGTCGGTAATTTAGTGGGAAGTACCTTATTAAAAAAATATGGTGGTGCATTGACTCTACAAATATATTCAATATGTGCAGCATTTTGTGCGCTAATGTATTTTCTACTTCACATTACATATTTAAAACATAAAACACCAGGCAAGGAATACAGTTTAATTCGACCAAATAATACAATTAATTTTTTCAAAATATTGTTTAAAAAATAATAGATTTTTTCTACTGTAGGAACACAAAATAATATTGAATGGGAAGAATCTGATAACGCGCATGAAGACATTGTATTGTAGAATAATAAAGCAAAATGTTTTTATAAATAAATTAATTATTTCAAAAGTTATCATTGCATTTATAAAATTTCCTAATTAAAAAATTAAAAATCTTATATGTATAATACTAAAAATACTCATTTTTTCATAGATATAACGTAAATCAACATTCTTTAAATTAGCTTTCAACTTGAAAATATGTGATATGTTTTATTTAATGTATAAGATAATAAATCTTTTTTTTACATTTTTAATTATTTTTGGTGTTACCACCAACGAGATACTGTTAAAGACCGTTAATTCTGGAAAAATTTTTGTGACCATCAAAGGGCCCAAAGAACCCGGAAGTAATTGCAAAGAGTTAATGTTATCGATGACATAAATTTGCAATTATTAACATAAATATTTGAATAATACATTATTAAAATCATGATTTTGTATTAAACAAATGCTTTATAAATAAGTACAAATTATACTTAAAAACTTTTTTTAAAAAAAGAAAAAAAAGTTTACGCCAAGTATATAAAAAAGTATTGTACGTTACATTTTTCTTAAATCAAAAATATCATTTTAACAAATAAAAATTGTCCACAAACAAATATGAGATCGTACAAGTTGCCAAGTTGATTGGACGTAGAGACAAAAGTATTTTTTTAATAAACCGTTTGAACCATCCAACAGTATATGCAGCATGAGTTTAATGCCATTGTCTTTTCAAATAATTTTAAGTTTCACAAAACAGGTTTAAAGTGACTAAAATGACCAATGGGATCATAGTGAAGCAAAAACTTAGCATGACCGCATTTTATATACATCTTATTAATTAATGCAATCTGGGCACACCAACCTACGATATTTTTTTATATACTTTGTGTAAATTTTTTATTTGTTAAGAACTAAACTAGAATATAAATCCTTTTTGTGTAATAAATGTATTTAAATCTAAAAATTTTTGTTTAGATTAATTTGCACGAAATTGTATTTATGTTTTTTTTTGTGCTTCATGTATGTATTAGATTTTCATTATAATTAAGAAGGTCTATAAATATAATTTTCTTAAAAATGTATCAGCAGAAGGGCAATGCAGAAGTCTTGAACAGATATTAGTGCTGATTACAATATAGTATATTTGACTCACTTACGCTCTTTTTGGTTTCTTTTATGTTTTTTATTTAAGATTAAACTTTACTCATATTTTTCGTTTATGTCCTCGGATTATGATTATGTACCTGTACGTCGATATATTTCAGCCTAACGTTTGTAATAACATGAACTGTTTCACTCAGACATTTCCTTTATGGTGACACACGGATCAAATTTACGCACATTTAACCACCAATTTAACTGGATCTCACTACAGCAACTACAATTACTTTTACATAATTTATCGGCGACTTTCTTATGTACACAACTACTCAGAATAGTTCAATGCGGTTATACCAAAACGTTTGGGTTTGTTAATTAATTTTATGTTAAATATGCTATATTGTAATCGGCTGTATCTGTGCAAAACTCATTGCTCTTTTACTGATACTTTTTTAATTTTTCATTCTTTATTTACCATGCCGCAGAGTAAGCAATTTTTAATTTTGGTTACCCCGTCAGCGGATAAGGAATATTATTTTTTACTTAACCTGCCACAGGGAAAGCAATTTTTAATTTTGGTTACCTTGTCACCGGGTAAGGAATTTTATTTTTTATTTACAATATTACGGGGTAAGAAATTTTATTTTTTACTTACCCTGTCGCAGGGTAAACAATTTTTAATATTGGTTACCCTGTCACTGGGTAAGGAATATTATTTTTTACTTACCCTGTCACGGGGTAAGCAAATTTTAATTATAGTTACCTTGTCACGGGGTAAGGAATATTATATTTTACTTACTCTCACGGGGTAAAAAATTTTATTTTTTACTTACCCTTTCGCGGGGTAAGCAATTTTTAATTTTGGTTACCCTGTGACGAGATAAGGAATTTTATTTTTTACTTACCCTGTCACGGGGTAAGCAATTTTTAATTTTGGTTTCCCTGTCACGGAGTAAGAAATTCTATTTTTTACTTACCCTGTCACGGGGAAAGCAAATTTTAATTATGGTTATTTTGTCACGGGGTAAGGAATATTATTTTTTACTTACCCTGTCGCGGGGTAAGCAATTTTTAATTTTGGTTACCCTGTGACGAGGTAAGAAATATTATTTTTTAGTTACCCTGCCGCAGACTAAGGAATATTATTTTTTATATACCCCGCTGCGTTGTAAGCAATTTTTACTTACTCTGCCGCGGTGTGAGCAATTTTTGCTTACCCCAAAAGTGAAATTAGCAATTTTTACTTTCCCTGCCGCGGTGTAAGTAATTTTTATTTATCTCGCCGCGGTTTAAGCAATTTTTACTTGTCTTAAAGCGATGTACTGAAGTAAGGGGAGAGATAGACTCAATATAATTATTTCTCTTTTCTGATAATTTGAATTTGGCCTTTCGTTATTTTCGACCGTAGTAGTGTAGCCTTCCGTTATATCCGACCGTCGCTATAAGTACGTGGAGAGAATTTTTTGTTATTCTTTACCGAAAAATTTATTACAAATTTTATTATAATATATTTGGTAGTAAGCTTGGGACAACTTTGCAACCTATGATATATTATCAGTAACAATAAGAATTTTTTATTTGTACAAAAGATATTTTATAAACAACGTTGTAAAAATTACCACCATGATTGTAAATGTTCTAAATTGAATTTCTTACATTGCTCTTCGTAAAATTTACATATTTTTAGTAAAATTTTTTAATTACAAATAAATGAATTAAATTATTAGATTTAAATAAATTGCACATTTTCTAATATTTTTAGAATAAAATCATGTAATATAATTATAAATTTATATTAACATTTATATAAACATAAATTATTATTCTGATATAATTTTAATATTTATATTATTATTCTCGAGTTACTTTTTTCTTTTTTTATATATATGTAATTATTAATTATAAGAGGAATAAAAGGAATTACTGGATATTAATAAGATTTATTTTATAAAATAGACGACTTCTTTGTTCGCTTCTTGTTCATACGAGTTCTCGCGTAGCTAGAGACCAGGGTTGTGCATCTACGCGTAAAATATAATATTCTACGTTTACGTGTAGACAACGTAAACTATTGTATAAGTGTCATCTATGTAGACAGTCAGTAGACTATCCCAAATAAAATGTGTGCGTGTCCGTACTACTACTGCCGAGTGCCGACGCGACCACGTCGGAGTCCGACAAGAAAAAAGTTTCCTATTATGTAGCGTTCTGCTTATATACTCGACTCGAGTAGCTAGTGTGCTCCAATCAGAGCGCTTGACGTGCGGAGTAGCGGAATGCTACGCGACGGAAAGATTTT